GCTGGAAGGTCCACTGAGGAACCGAAGGGTCGGGTCAGAGGTCAGAGGTCAGCCTGATCTCTAGTTTCCAGCTGAGATGAACTCAGATCTGGACCTCCAGAAACACATAAAGTTAGCTAAAAAATCGTTTCACCGCCTCAGTAACAGGTGTTGCTGGTTTTGTAGCAGCAGAGCGAACACTGCCAAATTTTCCTGGTGGAAACTTGGCAGGAGAAAATTATGTCTCATGTTTCCTCCTGGCCTGTTGAAGAGAACCGATTATTATTTCCTTTTTGGAGCAACCGCTCAGTTTCCCTGTGTGAGTCATCGTCATCCATCAGGGTTTTATTTAATGTCCTGTCAACTTCTGGATAATTTACTGTAGCTTCATTTCATCTGAACCTATTTTCATGGAATTTTATTTTTATAAAAGAACTCACCACTTTACCATTTCATACCTGGATACTTGCTACTTCCATTTCCTAGCTGGAAACCTGACCTTTGACCTTTTGCTCCTCAGCCTGTCTGTATCCTCGTGAGACGTTGAAGTTCGTTGTTCACATGGAAAACCTGTTTCTGAAACGTCAACTTCCTGGTTGATGTTGGTTCTTTTTCCACATAATGTTGTTTCCCTGTGGTGCTGCCGTAGTGCACCAGTTCCTCCTGCAGTAAAAACCCCACAGCATGACGATGCCACTCCCATACTGAAGAGTTGTTGTTTTCCTGCTTCTTTAAAACGTAGCGGTCATTATGACTGAAGGTTCATCAGAGTGCAGGATGAACGTTTAGCCTGTTTCAGTGCAGGATTGACTCACTGTGGAAACATCAGATCCACCCAACAACAACAAAAAGAAGAAGAAGAAGACAAGGTCGTCTTTCTTCAGGAGGAATCTGGGTGTGTTGCTGTGATTAGACGTTTTTTTACAGTTTCACATCTGTTCAGTCAGGATCCTTTGAGTTTTCTTCACTTCTGTGGAAATGCTCCTGCTTTCACTTTTGAACCATCCTGAGTTCTGCTGTTTTTATCCAACCTGATGTTTAAATAATCACTGATCACAATCAGTTTTTTATGACCACATCTCCATCTAATGTCTGATGGTTCCCCACTTCCCAGTTTTTAATAATAATCCACTGGACAGTTGTCAACATGCCAAGGATCTGATGTCATTCCCACAACCACAGGACGTGATTTTCCATCTGGCTGGTAAAGAAATGAGAAGCTCCTCGTTGCTTTCTGCCAGCTGGAGCTCAGCTCTCCTCCAATAGGAAACTCCTATTGGCTCACCGAAACTCAGGCGGGGTTTTTGGCCTGGCGGTGCAGTAGGATGGTTTCAATTGTAAATGTGAAATATATGTTTTTAATTCAAATGAAAGGGCAAAGAAGAATCATCTGAAATATGTTTTGTCTTTTTATGGTCAGACAGAACCAGACTGGAGTCTTTATTTAACAATAATCTCATCAAAACTTTTCACCTTCTGATTACCCCAAATAAAAGGATCAGACTTCTTTAGATTTACAATTTATTAGCTTCTGTTAGGGTGAATAATCTTATAATACATTAATAACACCAGCTTACACAAACATTTTCATGTTGTTTTGATTTTGCTGGAGTTACTTTTATCTGGAGGCAGTTCTCATGTTTTCCTCCCAGCTTGCAGCAGCCGGTTTCAACACACGAGGTCAGCCAAGCTACCAAAGCAGAGCTGCAGGAAAACAGGTCGGATTCTCCCAAAGCAGCAGCAAATGAAGAGATGGAGCCCCCAAACTCATCACTGTGCCATTCCTCAGTCATGCAAATTGACACAAGTAAAAATGTCTCTGATATTTTCAGAGATGTTTCCCTTGTCAGGTTTCAGATAAAAACGTGAGTCTTTGCTTCTGCTCTGCATTTGTATCATGATAAAACTGTCTGCGTCTGTCACCTTCAGACATGTTCTGTCTTGACTTTACTAACAAGCTGTGTTTTCAGAAAGAATGCCACGGAACCACTTTCCTGTTTTTAATTGATTCAAAACATCATAGCAGAGATAATAAACCAAAAGGCTTCTGAGTGAAAGGAAACGCTGCAGACAGAAATCCGTTTCCTGGCATCTTTCTGTTTCTATTATCAAAAACTGTAGAAAAACCTTCTGCACAGCTGCTCTTGCATATATAAAATGGTTGCAGCATTTTATTAGTTCTAAACGATAAACAGAGGTTCTGTGTTTAATTTGGTGTTTAAAGGGTCAAACTGCTCTGAGCTGCTTCTCCAACACAAACACTGGAACCATTTCCTCCGTCTTCTGCTGATTCCCACAATCAGCAGAAGAATAAGGAAGAATAAGTCGTTTGTTAGAGCCGAGCTACGCCGCTGAGCGGCTGCCGTTATTCCACATCTGATTTATGTGTGGTGGAAACTCCAGCCAGTCAGAACAACAAGCAAGCCGGGCGTTCCCCCGTCACATTAATGCTCAGGAACAGAAAATTAAAAAGTAAAACTGAAGAAAGATCTAAACTATGAGAACAGAGAGTTTGTTCAGCCTCAGCAGCTGCAGGAATGAATCCAATTCAGATTATTGATCCACACGCAGGAACTGATCAGAAGTCTGAAGGACGTTGATAAAAGCTGTTAGCTGGAGGAGTTTTAGTCATGTTCCAAACGAAGTTCAGGCTGTTCCATCAGGATTTGACCTCAGACTGAAATCTGTGAGAAGCTAGGAAGGAAAATGGTTTCCATGACTAAAAATCTGAAAAGTGTGGTGTGTGTTGTCTTTAGCAGCTCGCACTCAATCAGATTCCATGACGGTTGTCTGAGTATGTGGTTTAGATTTTGGTCTAAACCAGGAGTTTAGACCAAAATCTGAGATAATACATTGTAACCCGGGTCACCAGGCCACTGCGCCGCCGTGCGGGGTCACCAGGCCACTGCGCCGCCGTGCGGGGTCACCAGGCCACTGCGCCGCCGTGCGGGGCCACCAGGCCACTGCGCCGCCGTGCCGGGCCACCAGGCCACTGCGCCGCCTGCCGTCTTCCTCTGGTTTCACTCAAAGAGTGAAACTTCTAAAGCAGCTGAAGGTTAAATGCCTCTGTTGCTTTAATGTCACAGTTTGAATTATACATGTGAAGAGATAAACGCTGAGGGGATAATGATGGTTTATCTATCAAAACACATAAAACACAGCTGCTGCTAATGAGGGTAACCATAGCAGCAGATAAAAAAGACAGACTGTGAGCCATATAGAAACTACATCTAGAAACAATGTTAGTATATATTAACAAGAAACTATAACTAAATTTCTATTCTTCAATAAACATAAAATATGACATAATAAACATAAAGAAAATAAAACATCTTCCAGTTTTAATTGGTTTTATGTAAAGTTGATGTAAAGCTGGACAGAAGCAGAGAACTAAACACTCATAGGGTTTATGTTTTCACAACAAAACATCATGGATGCAAACATATTAATGTCTGTAGTTACCCAGAAGGCTTTGTGAGGTTTGTGCTCAGGCTGAACAGCAGGTGGCAGTAGCATGTAGCATCCACTCTTCTGTCTGGTGTGTTCCTGAGGTCTGGAGGTTAAACTGGATGAGTTTCTATTTGTTCTTTCTGCAGCTGAAAACCTGAACTTTTAGTTATGATCTGTGCTCTCTTGTGGGCAGATGGTCGGTCTGCTGCCTTGCAGGAAGAAGGTTGTGGGTTTGAATCCCAGTTTGGGGTCTTTCTGCATGCAGTTAGCATGTTTTCCCTGCGCATGTGGTTCTGCAGGGCACTTCTCCACACAGCCAGAAATATTCATGTTAGGGTAACAGCTCTTTCTAAATCCCCATTAGGTGTGTGTGTGTGTGTGTGTGTGTGTGTAGTATCCACTCTTTGTGCCCATTCAGGACGGAAACTCAGATTTAATCCAACACTTTGCCTTCGCTCCATATGCAGCCAAACCGCTTTTCTTCTTATGTCTCTAAAAGGGCCATGAAAACTTTTAACTCCTCTAAAATATATTGTTTTGTAAATGAAAGCTTCATAATTATTTAGTTCTTCTAAGTTCTTAAAAACAGAGAACTTATTGAAATCAGGAAGAGATAAATGTTATTTTGGCTTCCAGAGAGAGAAACCCAGACGATGATGTGCTCGTTTAATGCTTTGCTACATAAACATGACCTGCACAATGATTTGCTCAGGATTTTACTTCCATTGTAGATTCTTCAGTTTGTTTGTTCTGCAGGAAGCGGATTGTGTGTTTCTGTGTTTTGCTTCAGGTCCTCTAGAGTTCAGATTGTCTTCAGATGTGGTTCCACGTTGTGCGTTTCCAGCTCGCTGGGTTTCATCCAAGCCAGAGGTGATGACATCAGTTTTGTTTCTGCTGCAGTTTTATCACTACAATCTCTTCAGCTGAGAAATCCAGTGACTCCAGTTATGACTTATAGTGACCTGATGAGGAGCATTTGTGTTTCTGAGGTTTATTTCATCTCTGACAAATATTCACTAACAGTAAAAACTGTCAATGGGACTCAATTAGCATTTTAAAGCAGTTGGTTGCATGGTCTATAATTAATTAATCACATTTTAACCAAAAACCGTGTATCTATAAAATAAGCATCATTTTCAATAAAAAAAACATTTTTGCTGCTAAATTACTGAATAAATAAATAGATGAGCTCAACAACAAAGATATTTATAGTTTTAATCTTCAGGTTCTTCAACCAGCAGATTGGAGCAGTTTGTCTTTGTCAGACACATGTGTCAAACTCAAGGCCCGCGGGCCACATGTGGCCCGC